AGCATGACCACATAGTCAGGGTAAATGCCTGGCACTTTTTCCTGCAGCTGTTCAGTCTCCCTGACCTCAATGGGCTCCTCAGAGACCACTGGGGATGCTCTTACCTTTGTTCCCACTTAGTCATTGCCAAGGAGCAGGTTAACCCAATCCACAGGCAAACTGAGGACAGGTCTCACAATAAGGTCAAACTCCAGTTATACCCAGTAAAAAAGAACAGGCTTTTAGTTCCTTTTTACCAGCACTTTGGCACTTACTGCACTCGCTGCTAGAAAGGTTATACCATTTCCCAACAGCAGGGTTTTCCGGCCCATAATATTTCTCAGTGTGAAGGCAGGCTTGATTCCCTAACCCAATCTTCCCTTGGATACAAAATCCCAGTATCTCTCAGGGACTTGTTTAACCTCATCCACAGTCTCCAGAATGCCTTTACAGGGATTCACAACAACAAGTAAGAGCCATAGTCTGGGCTAACTCCCATTCACTGTATGGGGTGAATGTACCCTGACAGGTCCCACTGGGTTTTCCTGCAGCATCCAATAGTTGGCCTGGACATTGTCCTATATTTCAGCAGTGGAAACACCCAGACTTCTTGGCTTCACTTTTTATTTCAGAACCACCCTTTCTATCCTGAGGAGGGCAGCCAGCATCTCCTGCTCTCCCAGGGTGCTCAGTTAAATTACACTCCTCAACCCTATCCTTTCCAGTTGGTCGGGGTTTACTAGGGGAGAGTTTCTTTTGGAACAGGAATCTGTGGACCAGCTCATACTCATCAACCTGTGTGGCAGCCTACCTTGACTCAGTCACGTTTTCAAGATGTATTCATATTGGGTAGGAGATTTCTTGAACTCCTCCACAAGACATAGGAGCAGAATTACGCTATCCAGTTCATCAAGTCTGTTCTGCTATTCAATGAGATCATAGTGGATCTGATAATCCTCAACTCCACTTTCTTGCCTTTTCCCCATAACGCTCAAATCCTCTTACTGATTAAAAATATGTCTATCTCATCCTTGAATAAAACTAATGGTCCAGCCTTGATAGCCGTTTTTGGTAAAGAATTCCACAAATTTGCCACCCTCTGAGAGATAAAATTCCTCCTTGCCTCATTTAAAAGTGTGACATCTTCCACTGAGATTATGCCCCTGGTCCTAGACTCTTCTACAAGAGAAAACTACCTTTCTGCATTAGCCATGTCAGGTCCTCTAAAAATCTTTTATTTTCCAATAAGGTTGCCTCTTACTCTTACATATTCCAATGAGTGCAGGCGCAATCTATTGAACCCTTTTTCATATCTTTCTTTTCATTCGTGAGATGTGGGCATCGCTGGCTGGCCAGCATTTTATTGCTCATCCCTAGTTTCCCTTGAGAAGGTGGTGATGAGCTTCCTTCTTGAACTGCTTCAGTCCACATGCTGTAGATTATCCCACAATGCCCTTATGGAGGGAATTCCAGGATTTTGACCTAAGGATAGTGAAGGAGTAGGGAGGACTTTGCAGGGTTGATAGAACAATTTCTGCAGATGTTTTTTCCAATGCCTAGGTCAATACCTAGATCTGTCCAATTTCATTTATTTGTTGAGACTTTGCAGCAATTAACACAACTGAGTGGCTTGCTAGGCCGTTTCAGAGGGCAGTTGAGACTCAACCACATTGTTGTGGGTCTGGAGTCAATGTAGGCCAGACCAGGTGACAATGGCTGATTTCTTCCCCTGAAGGACATTAGTGAGCCAGTTGCATTTCATGGTCACAGTAGTTTCTTAATTCCAGACATTTCTTATTGAATTCAAATTCCACCAACTGCCATGGCGGGATTCAAACCCGGGTCCCGAGAACATTGGCTGAGTTTTTGGATTAATAGTCCAGCAATAATACCACGAAGCCACTGCCTCCCCTCATAATACAGTCCTCTATACCTGTTATTAACCGAATGAACCTTCTCTGGACCACCTCCAACAGCAGTATATTGTTCTATAGTAAAGGGGACCAAAACTGTTCACAGTATTCCAGCTGTGGTCTATACAGTACCTCGTGTAGTCTTAACAGAACTTCCCTACTTTTATACTCCATTCCCTTTGAAATAAAGGTAAATGTTCTACTAACCTTACCTATTGCCCACTGATTTGTTTTTATGATTTATGGACAAAGACGCCAAATCACTCTGTTCCATGGCTTTCTGCAGTTTAAATAGTAGACTTCTCTTTTCTTCCTGCCAAAATGCGTAATCTCACATAACTACACAATATATTCCATCTGCCAAGTTTTTGCCTATTCACTTAAACGGTCTTTATCCCACTTCAGATTGTCTGTGACCTCCTCACCATTTTCCTTCCATCTATTTTCGTGTCATCCACAAACTTGGCTAGAGTACATTCACTTTCCTCATCCAAGTTATTAATGTATGTTGTAACTCTATCTTTCATTAGTTAGGCAATCTTCTATCCATGCTAATGTGCTTTCTCTAAACCATCGGTTCTTGACTTAAGTAATCTAACGTGTAGCAGCTTATCAAACATCTTCTGATAACCCAAATATGTTAATCTAATACTTCCCCTTCATTTATCCTGCTTGTTACCTCTTCAATGAATTCTTGTAAATTTGCCAGGTATGCTATCTTGAGTTAATGAGAGAATTAGTTCGTTAGTCACTAAATACAAGAAGAAATTATCAATTAGAAATAGGAAATAGTCCAATAAAAAGTTAATAGATATATGGATCTAAACATCTAGATTATTCATGAAGGGAAGATGCTCAACATTGTGCCTGTTACGTAGCATGGTAACACTACTACTGATATTGGTGGGTGAGTGGCTGATTTTGAGATGCTGGGCTTCGCATGTTAGCTGAAAGGTCTTTGTCCTGTTTCTGTCAGCTTCCAGGTAGGCTTAGAATGAGTGAAGCCAATGACAGTAAATGAAAAGTCCGGCAGTCTCGTCCAGTCCAGGAGCTGGGTGCGTGTGTCTAAGTGCAAAGTGTCCGTTCAGCAGCATTACAACGTTAGTTGCTGGTGCAACCTGAGGCACAACACTGAAGTGCAGAATCTTCTTTAATTAGAAATTAACACATGTCAAATTCTAATGTCCATGGATGTGGGGTGCATGTGGCTGGTGCCCACGATGCGTTTATTGAGAAGTTGGTGCCCGGTGTACAACATGGAAGTCCTATGGAACAAGTGGCAAACTGAAATCCCCAGGTTTCTTCAATGCCAAGAAGTCTCAATTTCTAACTTGTTCAGTGTATTTAGTAAGTTAGGAAGGTGATTATTCATGAGGTGAACTGATGCTATAATCTCACTTCACTAACTCAGCACTGCCAAATAAGAAACTCACCACTTGACAAATGCATAAAAGATGCAGTGAGTTGCTGCTGACATTGGGATAGGTCTCATGAGATCTCTCACATAATCCAGTCACAAGTCTCACCATAGCCCACATGTTCAGGCCCCTATAAAATTGCACCCCTAGTAACTGTTGTAGGAACAATGTCATGACATCATGTGAGATTTATAACAAATTATAACATGCATTTCTTCTGGTACTTAACCTGTGAAAAGTGTAGGACAATGAGAATGTACAATTAGTATCATCATATCCTGCTTTTTCATGTAAGATTAACATGTAATGACAACTGCAGAATTTCTATTCATACGAATGTATAACATTCATTTTTGTAAGTTAATTATGGGAAAGATGGTGGTAAAATGTTGTGATTTGTCTAGAGCCTCCCAGTACACCTTCATCGACTTTGATTTCTATGTAGTTCTTTCCCTCTGAACTCTCAGCCTAAATGAAATGCTAACATCCATATGGTTTATAATATTTCAAAAAAACAGATTGTATACCCTTTCCCCCACAATTGTTTCACTCTGTAATGCCTCATTCTTATTTACTGAATTCAGTAGTTACTAACCAATGTATCATGATACAGGGGCTGTCCTATAAAGTCAGTGGATCAGATTACTGCATATACTCAATTGTCCCCCAAGGTCTTTACAGTAACTTTCCTCAGACAAGTTGTAACACCTGGAAGATTGCCTGTTTGGGCTGTAATGGCAGGGTGGAGGTTTTTTTTTGTGTGTGAGTAAAGGGTTGTTCAAAATGAATCCATTCAGGGAAATTGTCTAGACAGGCCACTCAGAAAGATTCAGGTGAATCATATTCAGAAATGTTACACAAAAACAACTTAATGCATTAAGTTGCCATGATGCTCCTTAAAAACAATGAAGTGCTTTTTAATATGTTAGCAACAAGTAATTTTTCTTTGAACATGAACACAATCATGAAAATTTTGTAAACTTATTGAAGTCAATTGGCACCATGCCTGATATTTTCCAGTACTATGTTATTGATGTCCCTCTCATCCCTTTCTAAAGCTTCATTTATAAATAGGTGCTCATCAGGTCTAACTTCTTCGGCCAGACATATCAGGGTGATAATTCACTATACTGAAAATTGTCACTTAAAGGGAAGATGTTAGTCCCAATTGTTCAACCATCAAAATAAGCATTGTGTTTCACTAGCCAACAATATTTATAGATCTGTATTGTATTAGCTTGAAAAAATACCCAGTGAAATATGCTCCTTATTTAACAAGGTTTTCTTCAAGACCATGTGATGTGTGTTATGTATGTTACTGCAGAGTACTGCCATACTTATGGACTTCTTATTTTGGAATTATTTAAAGTATTAGTGAAAAATTACTATTGGAAACTTTAAGTAAAATTTGAATAATAATTAAAATATAAATATTTGAAACGTTTAACATCTTTAAACACAGATTTGAAAGAACATGCAAGATAGAACCTAATGAATATTTTCAGTAATGTCTGTAAGATCAGTAAGAGTTTGTAATTGTTTGCAATATTACACCAAAGGATATTGATGCCAATAGGTGTGTGTATGAATAATCCTGAGACATTCCTTCATCACCTGGAGACTCACTCACCCTAAACCACTCCCAGGTGAGGGCGTCAATTAAAAGAGAAACTCACATATTCAGAGGTAGAGACGGATCTGAGGAAGGTAGGAACAGCCAGCAGAGAGGGGTTTAATGGAGAATTAAAGAGATTTTAATCTTGGTAATGCTTGAATTAAAATGTTCAGAATTAATGTGAAGTAGTTTCTGTAAAAGTTGGATTGTAACAAGAAGTATTAAATACTATCAGCTCACCTTACTGAATCAGTAGATCTAAATAAGGACTTTAAACATTTTTCAGATTATGATCTCCTCAGAATGGAAAGCCATAAAAATCTATATAGGCTCATTACCATGTAACAGTTTAAAACTTTAAATCTTGAGCTTGAATTTTGATGTGTTTGCATTTTGATTTTATTTGTTAAGGGTCGAATATGTTAAAATACATTTCATTTAATTGAAAGTGGTTCATCAAATGTCAACAGAAAAAGAGGACTGTTTCTTATGAAATATTGTGTTCTATTTATTTTCATCCGCATAGGTTTTCTATTTGAAGAGGTTCCCTTCCAAGGTGAAGATGTTGCCACTATTCCTAAGTCTAGGTGAGTTTGAAAATCAAAAAATTGAACCAGTGAAGTTTAATCTGTCACTAATCTGATTTTCTACAACTATTTTGTGCTTTGCTTTCATAATCAATAAGTTTAGGGAACTAATTTACCATTGAAAAGAGTTAAACATGGATTTTAAGATAAAAGACTTAAAACATTCCAAAGAAGCATCATGCATGCATGACACTTCTGGACTGGTTTGGACATGTTTTCCAATAGTAAATGATGCAGGCAACCACACACCAACCCTTGTTAATACTTCTGCTGAAAGTCTATTTTTAGTATTTTTTAGAGTTATTTTTTATAACTGCTGTCCTTAACTGCAATTATTAGCCAGTTTAATCGCAATTATCAGCCAGGCAATATTGATGTTTTATTTTGCTAGCATTATTAGATTATTTGAATATTCTTGAGAAGCACTTGTCTTTTGAAAAAGTAATTAATAAAGAATTGATGCAATAGGTAGTTCCATTCAACTTTTCACCAGGAATATCTGAAGGACAATACAGCCTGAAAGCATATCATTTTAATGCCTACGGTTGCAAAACATGAACCGTATAATGCAGGGAGGTCAGAAGTAAGGATGTTCACTGATGATTGCTCAATGTTTGGTTCCATTTGTAGCCCCTCAGATAATGAAGCAGTCCATTCCCATGCACAGCAAGACCTGGGCAGTATTTATCTTTGGCCAGATAAGTGGCAATTCACATCTGTGTCATGTGTGCTGGGCAATGACTGTGTCCAACAAAAGTCTCCCCTTGACAGTTAGTGGTATTACTATTGTACAGTACCTAATCATCAACATCATAAGAACCACCATGGCCAAAACTGGACCAGCCACACTCATTTTGTAGCTACAAGAACAGATCAAGAGCTTTGAATTCTGCATTGAATGACTTATCTCCTGATTTCCCCAAAACCTATCATTCGTCCACAAAGCACAAGTCAGGAATATGATCAAATACTCTTAACTTTCCTGGATGAGTGCAGTTTCAACAGCACTCATGAATTTCAGCCAACAAAGCAGCCCTATTTGATTGGCATCTGCTCCACCACCTTAAATATTCCCTCCCTACACTACCAGTGTAGGGTGTAATATAGTATGTAGAATTTACAAAATGCCTTATAGCAACTTCCTAAAGTTTCTTTGTCATAACCTCCTAAACTTGCAAACTCAGACATCTTGATTAATAAAGTCAATAGGCATCTGAGAATGCTACCATCCCAAGCCTCCCTGCACACTATACTGATTTGGAAAAATATCATCCGTGCTTCATTGCTACTGGGCCGAAATCCTGGATCTCCCTTAGGTACAGCAGCTGGATGTACTGTCACCAAATAGATGCAGTTTAAGACAACTCACTACCAGCTTCTCAAGGGTAATTAGGTATGGGCAATGAGTCCTGACCTTGCTAGTCATGCCCTCATCTGACGAATGAACAAAAACACAAGTTTCCAGATATTATGAATGACAAACACAATGTGAATTTGAACATGAGAAATACAAATCTGATGCAAAATGGAAAATTAGGCAGTAAGGCAAAGTTAGAAGTCTGCATTTTAAGAACGTTGAATTCAGAAGTATAATCTCTGAGTGACTAGAACCTTTGTGATGAATACCACTTTTGTTGTGTGTAAGTTGTGCTTTAGACCAGCACACTGTGAACACTGTAACATTCAAGACACTCAGTTTCAAGGGCTATCACATTTGGTTGTTCCAAAACATTAATTCCATCCAATTCTATCTAGCAATAGGGATGAGACCCGTTCCAAGGATTGCAATGGGACGCTTAGTACAGTTCAGAGATATTAAGAGGAATCCAATGTGACAAGCAGTGAAACCAGTACACTATGTGTGTGTGTGTGTGTGTGTGTGAGAGAGAGAGCGAGAGAGAGAGAACTAGAGCATGTTAGGCAGGTTGCTGTTAGCTATGCTGTAAAAGCAACTAACTACATAAGTTCTATATAGTTGGGGCTCAGAGAAGTCTTCAGGCCATTGAATAGGTCTGTGTAAAGAGGACTCTGGGAAGTCCAAGGGGTTGTGAAGAGCTTAAAAGAGGCCAGTGCACAATTAATTGTTCAGTACAGCAGAGAACGGGGCTTGTATTTGTGCAGCAAAGCCAGATTAGCACTAAGAAGACAAATCCAGGAACATCGCTAGCTTTGTGAAGCTCTCTGTTTGTGAAAACAAGTATAGTCCTGTGTATGAGTAAGGGCTGGACTGTCATTTCCAAGAATCCAGGGATAGTGTAGTCTCAGAAAGGAAGATGGACCCACAGAACATCGACAGTCTTTGAGGCATCCATGATACAACCACCTGTTTCAAGGAGAGGTCATCAAAAGTGAAGAATTGTAAACACTTGTGAATCTTTAATGAAATTTGGTGACTCACAGTATTTCTATCATCTGGGGTTTGGGGACATGATGGATTTGTTAAGAAATCCATACAATACGTTTGATCGCATTTGCTATTTGATATGCTTTGTGGGGTGTGTGCTCAAATATTTTATTCATATTGGCCTCATGTTAACTTTGGGACATTCAAATATTAGTAAAACCTATCTTTCCACACTCAAACTTAAATTTTCTGCCAGTACCAAAGTGGTATGAACCAATTTGTTTGTTACTGAAAGTGTGAGCATCTAGCTGATTAGTCCAAGATGCAATGTGGTGGCTTAAGCTAATTAGTCAACAAACTCTTCAAAAGTACATAAGTACTGGAAAACCACACCTAATAAGTCAACCAAATGTGCCAACAGTGACCAAATTTGTTACTCATTTTGTTATGGCATAAAAGAAAATGAATGCAGAGTTCAACCAGTAGCCAGTACTGAATTACTTGGTCAGAATCATGGTAATTCCAAATGCTTTATAATTAAATTCAATATGGGCAAATTCAGGAGGTGAAGGATCAGACTGTGTTCCCATTACAGTGACTCCTGATGAAAAGTGTTTCTGTGTGGATGGAAGTTTAAGACAGGACTGTATCTGGCTATAATGCTCCCAGGATCCTTATTTTCCCTCAAAATACTGCTGTGAGAGGCATGAGCATTGTCATAGAATCATAATGGTCTACAGCATTTTTAAAGGCCCTTTGGCCCATCAAGTCTGAACCAGTCCAAAACAACCACCTACTACTCTAACAGAAATTGTGCACATCTGGCGGTATCTGTGGAGTCAAAGCAGAGTTAATCATAGAATCCCTATAGTGTGGAAGCAGGCCATTCATTCCATTGAGTCCACTCCGACCCTCAGAACAGCATGCCACCCCCCCTTACCCTATCCCTGTATTTCCCTTGGCCAGTCCACCTAACCTACATATCTTTGGACTGAGGAAACCAGAGCATCCAGAGGAAACCGACGCAAACACACGGACAGTGTGCAAACTCCACACAGTCACCCAAGGGTAGAATCAAACTCAGGTCCCTGGCGCTGTGAGGCAGCAGTGCTAACCACTGTGCCACCCTTAATGTTTTGAGTCCAATTGATTCGAAACATTAACTCTGTTTTCTCCCAACAGATGCTGTCAAACTTGCTGAGTTTCTCCAGCAATTTCAGTTTTTGCTCCGAATCTTCAGCATCTGCAGTTCTTTGTTTTATTATAACTTACAGTTCTAATCCCATTTTCCAGCGCTTAGCCTTTTGTGCCTTGTCATTACAAGTTTATATCTAAATACTTCTTAAATGTTATGAGTGTTTCTGTCTCTACCATCCTTGTAGACAGTGAGTTCCAGAGTCCCACTGCTCTCTGGGTGAAATTTGTTTTCCTGACATCTTTTCTAAACCTTCTGCTCCTTACCTTAAATCTGTGCCCCTGGTCATTTATCCATCCATCAAAAAGAAAAGTTTCTTTCTGTCTCCCCTATCTCTGACCTCATAATTTTATATATCTTAATCATGTCACCCCTTCAGTATTCACTGCTCCAAGAGAAACAACATCAGTCTGTCCAATCTCTCTTCATAACAGAAAACCCGTCATAACATTGTGCCACCTAAGCATGTCGGATTCTTCCTTCAGTAATATGGAAAATGCATTATAGCTGTTTTTATTCTTCTAAGCCATTTCCCTCTAATAACGGGTATGCAAAGTATTTGATTCATATTTATTCAATGATTGATAACATTGTTTGAATTTGATTATAGTGGAGTTTCCTTTTTTCTTTAATTGTCATTGTTTATGTTTTCAGCATTTAGCAGTTATGTAATGGCACAGACAGACTGCTCTCAACGGGCATGTTACCCCACACCAAGAGACCTAGTCACTGGTCGAGCAGATAGACTACAAGCATCATCTACATGTGGCCTTCATGCATCTGAGAGATACTGCAGCCCAAGAATGTACTATGGACGGGTCAGTAATATTACTAGTTATAACTTATTCCTGGGCTGTTGGCAAGTGTTAATAAGTGGTGTTTTAAACCATTTTGTTGACGGTTAATTAACCTGGCTACCAAGTGGCCAATTTTACAATGAAAGAAATTCATTTCTTCAAATTCATATTTCTGATTATTTTCAATATAAAATTAAAGCAAATGATGCAGGTCATGGTATATTTGCCAAATTTAGGGAAAAGCTCAAAGTTTAGTCCAGTGTATTGATCAAAGTGTTTATTTTATTTCTTTACATATTGGAATATGTTTGGATTGGCACCAGGCATTTTTTAAATTTATTCACAAGGTGTGGTCATCACTTGCTTGACCATTATTTATTGCCCATCCCTAACTGTCCAGAGGGCAGTTAAGAGTCAACCACATATTTATGGACCTGAAATCACACGTAAGCCCACAAGACAGCAGTTTCCTTCCCCTAAGAGCATGATTAAATCAGATGCTTTCTTCCCCCTACAATTTGCAATGGTTTTATGGTCACCACTAGGCTCTTAATTCCAGATTTTTATTGAATTCAAATTCCCACACTTGCTATGACAGGATCCAAAATGGTTATCTCTAGAATAATAGTGATAATATGTCTAGGCTATCACCTCCCCAATTCATTCTGACCTATTCTCTAACTGACTACTAATTATGTGTGGCCCTGGACATTGACTGTCAACAGACCACTTCCTTGGGCCAGGTTAATGGATTATGGCTCCTGACCCTGTCCTATCTCACCCCATTCAATGTTCATTCCTGTCAGAGAGTACTGGCGAGCAGAAAGTAATGGAACTAAAATAACTCCAGAGAGGCCGGTATTCTGTCACCAAATCACCCATTAACTACGTGTGCATGGCACTTGACGCTGGTCCGGCTTCTTCAGAGCCACCTCTCAGAGTGAGCAGAACCTCCAACAGTCCTGTTTATATCTGTCAACCATAAGACTATAAGATATAGGAGCAGAAATTAGGCCTTCAGCCCATGAAGTCTGCTCCACCATTCAATCATGGCTGATAAGTTCCTCAACCCCATTCTCCCGCTTTCTCCCCTTGATCCCCTTGACAATCAAGAATCTGTCTATCTCTATCTTAAATATACTCAATGACCTGGCCTCCACAGCCTTCTGTGGCAGTGAATACTATACATTCACCATTCTCTGGCTAAAGAAGTTTCTCCTTATCTCCATTCTAAAAGGTCTTCCCTTTACTCTAAGGCTGTGCCCTTGGGTCCTAGTCTTTCCTACCAATAGAAACATCTTCCCAACATCCACTCTGCCCAGGCCATTCAGTATTCTGTAAGTTTCATTTAGATCCCCCCTCATCCTTCCAAACTCCATCGAGTACAGATCCAGAGTCCTCAAATGGTCCTCATATGTTAAGCTTTTCAATCCTGGATCACTCTTGTGACCTCCTCTGAACCTGCTCCAGGGCCAGTACATCCTTCCTGAGATAAGGGGCCTAAAACTGCACACAATACTCTGAATGTGGCCTGACCAGAGCCTTATAGAGCCTCAGAAGTACATACCTTCTTTTATATCCACGTCCTCTCAAAATAAATGCCAAAGTTGCATTTACCTTCCTAATTACTGACTCAACCTGCAAGTTTACCTTGAGAGAATCCTAGACTACAACTCCCAAGTCTCTTTGCACTTCAGACTTCTGAATTTTCTCCCCATTTAGAAAATAGTCCATGCTTGTATTCTTCTTACCGAAGTGCATCACGTCACACGTTCCCACGTTGTACTCCATCTGCCACTCCTTTGCCCAGTCTCCTAACCTGTCTAAATCCTTCTGCAGCCTCCCCGCCTCCTCTACCTGTCTTTGTATCATCTGCAAACTTAAGCAGAATGCCCTCACTTCCTTCATCTAGACCATTAATGTATAAAGTGAAAAGTTGTAGTCCCTACACGGACCCTTGTGGAACACCACTTGTCACCGGCTGTCATTCCGAGAAAGACCCTTTTGACCCCACTCTCTGCTTTCTGCCAGACAGCCAATCTTCTATCCATGCTAGTACCTTGCCTCTAACACCATTGGCCCTTATTTTACTCAGCAGCCTCCTATGCGGCACCTTGTCAAAGGCCTTCTCGATGCCCAGGTAGATAACATCCATTGGGTCTCCTTGGTCTACCCTGCTCGTTACTTCCACAAAGAATTCTAACAGATTTGTCAGGCATGACCTCCCCTTGATGAAGCCATGCTGACTTTACCATATTTTACCATGCACTTCCAAGTATTCAGAAATCTCATCCTTCAAAGCCCCAACCAGGCCCTTCCCCACAACCTGTCAACCCATCACCTGATCAAATATCCCTCTGCTCCATGCACCTACCACCTGGCACCTGACAGCAAATCCTTCCCCCAGATCTGACACACATCCCACCACCAGACCTGAAACTACCCCACCCCCAACACTCTTCAATCCCCATCCCTCCGCCAAACCCAACACTATCATCACCTCCTCCTTGCCGGGTGTGACATCCATGTCTACGTCCATACCTCCCTGCCAAACCCGACCCACTCTAAATATTACATTACCTACCTATGTGTGCCACTAGATATTTAAAACACAGAATATGGCAATGACTATCGTGAGAAGGAGGCATGGTGTGACTTCCCCTGACACACAAGCTCTGTGAGGGAGCTGTTAGATTGAAGGTTGCCTTTCCTTTTCCGAAAGAGCCGTGTTCGCAATCTCCCAAAAGCCATAAGGAGATATTTCATAACAGCTAAAAGTAGCTCCTACAGTTCCTAATCTGACTGTGATTGCCACTTCTCAGAAAATTCAGCCCAGTATTCCAGGTGGCTTTCTCTGATGTAGCCAGATTCACCTACTTTTTCTCATTCTGCACTATATTAAAGGAAATAGATCCAGACAGTTGGGTGTGGCTGTCTATTTAATCAGCAAGGCTGGGTCTCGGTTCTGCTTAGTCAAAGACTTCTAATTTTATAATGTTCTCACTGGCAACAGTGCCCATCCCTAATTATCCTTGAATTATGCAACTTGTTGGAACAGTTAAGAGTCAACAACATTTCTGTAGGTCTGGAGTCACACATAGGCCAGACCAGGTAAAAATAGCAAATTTCCTTCTCTAAGAAAACAAAAGATATTACTGAACAAGTTGTTGCTTTTACAACTGATGGTCATGGTCACCATTACTGAGACTAGCTTTATATTCAAGATTTAATAATTGAATTTAATTTTAGTTTCAGCCTATATCCCCAGAGAGTTACCCACACATCTCTGGATTACTTTCCCTAAATACTGACGGTACAGTAGTCAACAAGCAGAAAGCTACTTCCTCCTCTTTAGCATCTGAGACATTGATCTTCCACTTGTAGAAAATTTTTTTGAGCCACTTGGGAGTCAAGAATCATTTCTGTAACAGAACATTTACAATGACAAAATCACAATTTTTTTACAAATAGCCTGTTAGTCGCTGATCTGCTAATAAGATTTGCTAGAAAACTTGAATCTATATAATAATTTCTGTGGAACAGTGACAATGGGTAATTTCATTTTAATCCCTAAAATATACTTTCCATTGTTTAAATTAGACTTAATTCTATAATAATACTCTGTACCACAGTTGCTTTAAAATTGTGAATAAGAATTGGAATTTATTTCTATACCTCCATGTGCCTAAGTTATTCAGTCCTCTTGAATAGATTTACAAATTAACTAGCAAGTGCCCCACTGATTAAATTTAAACAAAAGTTTTAAATAACTTATAGATGATTCCAAAAGTGAATACATTATTCAATAGCGATAAATTTGGCAATAAAACTAACAAATCAAAGTAGGCATTGATTGCAGAATTTATTATAAATTACTGAATCATTTGTATGAAGTAACATTTATAGTTGAGCAGAGAAGCTTGGTTGATGAAGTGCATAAACTTTTATATATCATGGCTGTTCAAATGGAAAATATCCAATTGAAATGCCTGGCACACAAGCAGGCATTGCTAAATGTCTAGGACATCTAAGGGCACAAATTTATTCTGATGGCAAATCCCCATTACGTTCATTTGAGGAAAACATTGCAACAGTCGCTAAAATATTGCCAGAGGATTCAGTCCCCATATTTGCCAATTTTCTATAAAATTAACACACAGTTGGCAACAGGAGAGTCGCCTCTTTAAACAATGACTACGTGCTGCTGAACATTCAGAACACTGGGATTTCATGGAAAACCTTCTAGCCGGATTGGTCATTGCACTAACTACGCAAAATCATGCAAAGGTTATAATAGAACCTTAACAACTCAGACACTCGCTAAGCAAGATACGGAAAATAATGCAACATATATTTCAATGTAGCAGATTTGGAGGGAATAAGAAATTCCATGGTCCTGCTTCTCTGTTGCAAGTGATTTATAATTCAGTTTGGAGAATGCTTACTAAAAGCTGAAGACAGCTGATATTAAAGTGCTGTTTTCACTGTGAAAGTTAATAGCCTGGCACCAAAAACCCCCTGCATTAAGCGTGACCATTGTGCCCACTCATCCCTCTTGTCGGCTTTCGTGTAGCAATTCAAGTATTGATGGTGAGAGATGTGATGTGGAAAACTTTGCTAAATTTGCTGAACTATGGTGAATAAAAACAAATGTGTCGCATCTTTGAAGTACCTCTTGTTTAGCTATTTTTCAGCTAGATGTCATTTGACTGAAAGACAAATGATATTGGCTTTAAAATGTAAAGTCATTGATTTAGGTGAGATTATTTTTACACTGAGAAAATTCTGTCATGGAACGTGGGCTTTGCAGGCTAGGCCAGTATTTTTGTTCAGCCTAATTATCCTTGAATTACGCAACTTGTTGGGACAGTTAAGAGTCAACAACATTTCTGTAGGTCTGGAGTTACACGTAGGCCAGACGAGGTAAAAATAGCAGATTTCCTTTTCTAAGAAAAAAAAAGATATTACTGAACAAGTTGTTGCTTTTACAACTGATGGTCATGGTCACCATTACTGAGACTAGCTTTATATTCAAGATTTAATAATTGAATTTAATTTTAGTTTCAGCCTATTTCCACAGAGAGTTACCCCCACATCTCTGGATTACTTTCCCTAAATACTGACAGTACAGTAGTTAACAAGCAGAAAGCTACTTCCTCCTCTTTAGCAGCTGAGACATTGATCTCCCACTTGTAGAAATTTTTTTTTGAAGAAAACGCCATAATTATAATTCTACAATGATCTAGAGAAATGTTATAAAATTTTAAATTTATAAATGTTATTGTTTCATTTCCAAAGTATCATAGTCAGCATTTTCTGAAATTTGGGCCCTGATAATCTGTAAGACACTGATCATCTGTATAACATTGATCCCAGCACAAATTCTTCGATTGACCCACAACTGAATCCAGGTTCAGGCTTTGAATAATATTGCTAATGACCTCCAGCATTGTAGAAACTTGCCAGGAAACTGGACAGTGCTAGTTATTAAGTACAATTAGAAAGACTGCATGGAGATAAATTGGTCACTTTTTTTTCTTCGTTGATTCCAAAGATGTGACATGGTGTAGTTCACCAGCCAGGAGAAATTGGAACAACCTATTTTCAGGAAATCCTCTCCAGTCCGTTCCACATTTGGGGTCAACAGAGAGTATTCTAAAATGGACTGTTCAGTCACAGGTGCTGTTGCCCAAAGACACCACAATCCCAACACCAGTGTCCAAGGACCTTCATGCATCTGCTGCATGTGTGCAGTTTTCTGACTTGGAACTCGCAGCTAATTAACCTGGTCACTTGTCAAATCCCAAACACCATAGGACTTGGCCAGTGGACCCTGGTAGAAGTTTGTTCATGTCTTTGTTGAATGTTACCTTGGGGTGCTGGCATTTTCCACACAATGTTCACAGGTTGGTGGTCAGATTTCAGTAACATGTTGATCCACAATGATGGGGACTGCCTTGCTGCTGCAGTCATCGACAGACACAGTCTTCTCCCACCTGTTCATCCTGCAGAGGACATTTTGGACTGTACTTTGTCTGGTCTCACCCCACCATCCCAAGCTTGGCACCATTAGTGGCCTTACCAGGAGCAAGAAATTCCCAACAGTATTATTCAGAAAATTATAGGAGGGCCTCTCCACCACATCAAGTTGGCACACAGGGAGATCATAAAGTTACTTTACAAAATACAATGTGTTTCATAATTATGCTTCAACAAAACTTTGTGAAGCCATGGTAATGAACTTAAAAATTAATAGTATTTAGCAAGATTTGTACAAGTAATTTGGAATAGTTGAAGATCCAACAAATCTTTAGACTCTTGTTGGCGATACCCTGCTCAAGAATCAGAGTTAGGGTAGTGAAAATGCTCCTTTCCAAATAACAGCATGCTCATTCCAAAAACATAGAATTGTAACAGTTAACTACTTCAAGTGGGCAGTGCACAAATCCATCTTTGACTATTGCAACATTTCTGTATTATCATCAGGTCAAAGGTGGAAGAGTTGGAATCAGGCAATTCTGTTTACTTTAGTGCACTAATGGTTCATGAATTACAGCAATCCTTTGCCAACACCATGTCAGTTGAAAAAGAAAATCAATAAATATTGAATAAAAGATTCATCTCTTTATTAGCTCCTGGAAGCAGCTAATAAAACTATTTTATATCAATTGAAATGACCCTTTGAGATGATGTTTACTTTGTGCCTTAGGAGTTGCTGCAGTGTTGCATCTGTGACTCAAGAAATGAATACAATCCTGTCTATTCCACAAACAGTCATCGAATTCAGAATGTGGCTTCTTCAGGTGCATTGAGGAGCTGGTGGCAATCAGAAAATGGTAAGATTAGTGATTCCTTTCATGGAAAGACCTTAGTAGAGTACGACACCATGTTTTTAAAGAATTATATTCTTGTAACAATAACCTCCCACACAAAATAATAGGGTTAGAAACAGGACCAGAATAAGTTAATTTTGAAGTGGGTGCAATTCCTGGAATAGCCAGCAATACTGTGTAGCCCTGGACTGAACAGACAATTTATTAACTCTAGAGGTAGGTATTGTTAGTCCAGCTCTGAGATATTTCATTTATGCTTCACTACACTGCAACATAAGACCTCATTTGCATCTTGTTGTGCTCAGAGTAATATAAATACTTAAAGGGTAAACCCTGTTTGAAATAGTGAACACCTTTTAACAAATCCCTGTGAATTGACCTGGAAGCTGTAGCAATGCGGAATATAGAGTTTCCAATTTATAGAGCATAATTTGAATTAATTAGGCTGATTTTTGAAGCTGCTCACTCTGTGGTTGTGCTTCTGCAATTGTCAGGCACACAGCAAGTTGAAAAGCCAGTTGATCTGGTACATAATAGGCCAAAATTTTTTTCCAACTGGTTTACAGAATGGGAACTTGCAGCAGGGAACTAATCCAGCACTCTGGGAAGGAAGACTTTGGCTTACAACAAATTGGTCCTCTGGCCTCAGCAACATAATTGTGACAAGTTGCCAGTAGGTATCATGCCGCCAGGGTCAGCTCACTCAACTAGAAAGATAAGAGAGTTTGACTGAAAAAGATAAAGTCCAGTGAGATAAGAAGGAATCTAGGCCAAATTAATTGAGTAAACAAATCAATGAATATGTCGCTATTTCAAAGGTAAGAAGTCTTCAAATATGGGATTAATAGGGTAGAATCTTATCAGCTCTGAAATGTTAGTACCATTTGCAAATCCCAGCCCCACATAGGTCACAGATGGACCCAGCTTTGCAATTTGATAAGAGATAGCAAATCTCTATGTTCACCTCCAAATAAAGACAGTAGGTGGGAGGCTCCATGGGAGGCCCACAGACTGACTGGCCTGCAGTATCCCTGGGAAAGATGGGAACAATTCAGGCGAAGCTTGAGGATGCCTAAAATTGGGTATTCAAATAAGCAGCTGGCCAACAGTGCAGAGGATGAAACTATTTTTAGCCCTGTGGCTTCATTACAGCAGCACAGACAGCAGTCTCTACGGTCCCTTAACACTCTGCTGTGTGACTGCTGCACCTTACAATGTAAGCACCACTGCTGCATACAATGAAGGGCTAATTGCTGTTCTATATACCTTCATCTCCATAGATAAGCTGGGCAGCCACTGCCACAGGGAGATCTTTAGGAGTTAGGTCCATTTGAGGAACTGACCCAGCGCACGATATTCTAAATTTCCATGCCACCTCCGAAGGCACTTCTATGGGGTCAGCTTGTAATGTGTAAAAATAATGGATTCCTGAAATGAAAAGAAAAGAAAATGATGCATCAAAGAATAGCATTCTACAAAAAAGTGTAGCAATTAAAATTACATTGAAATATAACTAGGAGGTGTATAATGGAAATAGCACAAACAATACAAAAGAGTATTCTGAGAATGTGGAGAATGTGGATTTTCAAGGAAAGATTAGAAGGGATGACCAAAACCATGTAAAGAGATGGATTTTAATGAAGGAAGAGAGGGACATGGAAGGTTTTAGGATTGAAAGCGAATAAGGTCCAGACAATTGAAGCACAGTTACTAAGTGTGGAATGAAGGGACTGGGGTATGCCCAAGAGGCCAGTCTAGGAAACCTACAGATTTCTCACAATGATTTTAGGGCAGGAAGATGTTACAGAACTAGGAAGAAGTGGCACCATGAAGAAATTTAAGTATGAAAATCAGGATAAATCCATTCTGACTAACCGTTAGCCCATGTACACATACCACTCAATGCAATAGTTCAAGAAGGTGGCTTCCCATCACCTTCTGATAGGAATCTGGAAATTATAGCACAAAGAGTTCAGCCTTGATCCTGTAGAATGATGGAGAAGGCTAAAGGGTTGAATGGTCTTCCTGTTATGTATCTTTACATGTTCTAACGGGCAATTAAGGATTGTCAATAAATGCTGGCCTAACCATCGACACACACTTCCTGTGAAAAACACAAAGAAACATAAATCTCTGCATTAGTCTACACTCAATCACCAGAAAAGTGATCATCTTAGGCCCAGAACACTGCAACAACAGTTCCTGAGCATAATAACCTATTTGCAATTATCTTCCTTCTATCACAAACTCAGAAGTCAGAATGTTTGCTAATGATTGCATTGCTTTATTGCACATTCAACTTCTCAATTGATGAAGCATTTCATGGTCATATGCAACAGGACCTAGATAACATTCACACTTGGGCTGAGAATCTGCAAGTATCATTCATGTCACATATTCCAGGTAATGACCATCTTCAACCATACACAGTCTAACTAAATCATCTTGGCTCTCAGTGGCATTGGTATTGCTAAATGCCCCACTGTCAAAATACTAGAAGGAACTATTTAAGGAAAGACATTATTTCATTGGAGACAGTACAAGGAAGATTCACTAGGAAGATCCCCGTATGGAGAGATTGTCTTATGAACGAAGGCTAAACAGGTTGGGACTCTATTCACTGGAATTTAGAAGATTGAGAGGGGTTAGGGTTAGGATTAGGGTTAAGATTGAGGCATATAGGATTCTTAAGAAATTGGATCGGATAAAGCTGAGAGGATGTTCCCTTTCATGGAGAGTCTAGGACCAGAAGGCATAGTTTCAGAATTAAAGGGCACAAGTTAAAACTGAGATGAAGAGGAATTTATTCTCCGAGGGTTGTGAGTCCTCGGGTTACGGAGAAAAGGCAGGAAAGTAGATGTGAGTAATGTCTTGGATCAGTCATGATCCTGTTTAATAGCACAGCAGGCTCAAGGGCTAAACTCCCTTCTCCAGTTCCTTTCTCTCATAGTCTTATGGAACCATTGCCCTGAAAGTTAACTGGATCAGTCACATAAATATTGGGGTGACTATAAAAGGTCAAAGATCAGGTATTCTGAAGCAGGTAACTCACTCAACTGCCCAAAGCATTTCCATCATCTACAAGGCCCAGGTAGGGAGTGTGTGTGTGTATGCTTTTCACTTGCCTAGATGAGCAGAGCTCTAACAAGAAGCTTGACACCATCTAGGGCAAAGCAAATATTCTAATTTTTAATTAGCACCCAATCGCTACATTGAGCAGTAGGGGGAAGTGACAGCCTAGTGGTATTATCACTGGGCTGTTAATCCAGAGACTCAGATAACATCCTGGGGACCAGGGTTCAGATTCCTGCCGTGGCAGATGATAGAATTTGAATTTGATTTTTAAAAAAATCTGGAATTAAGAATCTAATGATGACGATGAATCCATTGCTGTTTGTCACTAATGTCCTTTAGGGAAGGAAACTACCATCCTTACCTGGTCTGGCCTACATGTGACTCCAGACCCATAGCAATGTGGTTGACTCTTAACTGCCTGCTGGGTAATAAATGCTGCCTAGCCAGTTATGCCCTCATCCCATTAATGAATTAAAGAAAAGACCCCCTATCACCAGTGCACCATGGATGTTATGTGTATTAATACCAAGGCTTCTTAGGCAACATCTCTTAATATGATCTTTACCACCTAGAAGGATGAATAAGCAAGTAGATATGAGAACATTGCCAACTTCAAGTTACATGACTCATTGACTTGGCAATATACTGCCATTCCTTTCTTATCACTGAATATAGAAAATTAGGAAAATACTATTTTCTTTGAGGGATCTAAGATGAGACATCATCAATTTTAAAATAGTTCTTGAGACTGAAAAGAAAAGTAGATTTTTTTATGCAATAGGCTGGTCTGGCATAGAGTAATTGGTCTCAGGAAATGGTTGAGGTAAGATCTGTTACATTTTTATGGACCAAGGAAACAACATGGGCATAGGGACAATTTTTTGAGTCACTCTTGTGAAGGACCAGAGGGAAAATAAACAGCAAGTGACTTCTGTGCTGCAATACATTGTACAGCTTGTTTGATTCATATCATCTGACGGTCTCTGTATTTACAGATCAGGAACAAGTGTCTATACAGTTAGACATGGATGGAAAATTCCAGCTTAACAATATTCTTCTACGATTCAAGGTAAAACACATTCTTAAATACATTTGCAAATGGATTTTTTTCCTACAAATTGAGCTCTTTCTGTATTTATTGTCCTCAAATTTATCCTCTATTTCCTACTGTTACTATATATCCTACTTCCAGTTATGCCGTTGCTTGTTACTGTTAAGTCGTATTAACCAGAGGTCACTGCCAATTTGTTCTTCCTTTGAGTTACATCAATATCCACATCTTTTATTGTCTGACTGAAGTTCCAAGTTGTAATTCTTGTTACAACTCTTGACTTTACCCAAGTAGCCCACAACATCAAAATCCACAACACAATGTCCAGCATTAGATGTGATTCCAGAATTGGATGGCATTTGTTAAATAATCCTGAGTGTGCAACAAATTGTGCTAACAACCAATTTAGTCAGACTTGTAACATGGTGCTCTTGTGTATAATGGAAGCAACATACATTAATACAAAGATCATGTTCTTACAGACAGAAAGCACATGTACACACACTGCCTGTCTCAATCAATAAAATAGATGACAGCCATTCTATGGTTCATTTCTTAGGACAGTGCCTTGATCAATCAGACTGAACCTGCCTTGTTTAAAATTTAAACAAAGCATGGCAGTTAATCATCAGTCATCATTAACAGGTACGTTCTCCATGGCAATACTCCTACCAATCAGAATCCACTTGTCAACCAATCAGCACTTTCCTTTGATGCAGCATAAATGTCGTGTTCCTTTTACTTTAGTATGTTTTGTGAATTGTCTTGATGAAAGCACAGCAAAAGACATCAACAAAATGTGTCCTGTTTTCAGCTCAATCTCAAACACTTGTTTTATTTAGCTTGATTACTTTTAGGTAGCATGCTTCAGGAATGACAGCAAAAGACATCAACAAAATGTGTCCTGTTTTCAGCTCAATCTCAAACACTTGTTTTATTTAGAGATAGTAGGAACTGCAGATGCTGGAGAATCCGAGACAACAAGGTGCAGGGCTGGATGAACACAGCAGGCCAAGCAGCATCATAGGAGCAGAGAGGCTGACGTTTCGGGCCTAGACCCTTCATCAGAA